CTCTCTGCTGTTGCCTTTCTAGTTTAAAAATAACAGAAAAAGAATTCTTCCTTTACAGAAAAAATTCTCATCTAAAGCCAGAAGCCAGCCCTGAATACAGGGCATAATTTCATGGGCCGAGGCCAATTGTCCCCACTGGTGGTTAATTTCATGGTAACAGTGTGGTGGGCAGGGAGGGAGGCAAGACTCGCCTTGGAGAGCTGATCCAGAGTCCAGTGGGAACAGGGGTGAGGGAAGGTGTATGACTGAGGAACACCTAAAAGGGACAGGGTGACTGGAGCTGCCAGAAAGGTGGCCTCTGGTTTCCTCCTGGCATAGCTGCACTTCGTGCAATCCCAGTGCTGTAGCCTTGAGAGCAGGAACAGGGTTGAACCCCGGCAATAACCAGGTAGCCTCAGGGTAGGTGCTCAGGGGAGCAGGGGGATGATGTCTGACACTAGAGACCTGGTCTTCCAGGGTGAGGGTGGTGTGTCATCAAGGCATCCACTGGAGGCTCCACCGGCAATTGCAACTGGTAGCATCCTGGGATGGCCCAGCGCCCCCAGAGCAGGTGATGTCTCCGTTTTCCCTTGTATGAGACCCAGAAACAGGACCTACTTAAAGCCGAGCACCTGACACAGTAAACGCTCTGTGGATGTAGCTATTACAACAAATGCATGTTCCATGTAGAAAATGGTTAAATGTCCATCAGCAAATGCAAAAAACCCAACACCTGTAATCCTCAACTCAGAGATATCCACTGACCACCCCACATACAGCAGTATCACCCCAGACCCTTCTTCTTGGCTCCTTCTGAACCATCTTTCAAAACATCTTTCAACATTGTATTCATAAAACATTCTTTTAAAAGGCTGTAGGGAAACTCGTCTTAGGGACATAATTGATTCGCTCCATTTGCATTTGTTGTGTATCTCGGTTGCTTTAATTTTCTGCTGTTACGTAACAGGGACCATGGGCATCGTGTGCATGTTGTTGATGACTCGAAGGTACAGGCTGTCGCAAGCCCCTGCACGACGGCCCCGCCGGGCC